GTCCAGATTCTGCCGGACATGAGCTTTTTGAATCGGAAACCTTATAGTCTGACTTTTCCCTTCGTGTGCTTCCTCACTTTCCCTGGGTTCTTAAATGCATATTCTGAGTATGTGGTGCTGTGTTATGGCAGAAACACACGCAGTACCACTTTTATATTTGGGGAGACCTCTCATACCTCCATGAAGCAACAAATGAACAATTTCAAATTAATCAAGGGTAATTTATGTGCATAACTTTAATGTGGAAAGCCACAGTATTGTCCCCACTGGCACTTTTGGAAGACTAACATGTAATAACTTGCTTAGACTATGATACTTTTGCAGGCCTTGTAGGCTTCTTTAGGGAGTAGCAGAATGGCTACTTTCTTTCCACTGGCTACCTGCCTTTGGCCACATGAGTGGGTAGGTGCAGCTCCGTTTGGACCAGAGTGGAGGACGACAGTCTTCTGAAGAGCGGATGATGCGATTCTTTCCAAGTCCCTAGTGCTATAAGCTACTGACCTAGCAAATTGAAAGCCCCACACAGATCATTTGCAGGTTTAATATGCTCCTTTGTACTGTTTGCCCAAATAATATCGTGAGAGACAATGATCTGTGTTGCAGGCCAGTGAGGAGTGCACATGTGGAACTGAAGGGAACATATTTGGGTCCACGTGTTGGGCTAGGGGCTGCATTATCATCCACAGGCAGCCCCACCCCACTGAGAGCTATTTAAAACCTCACCTGCCACTAAAGTGATTGCATTTCACAGCTAGCTAGGCTGTGCATACTTTGTCTTTTCAGAAGAATCACATAATAAATAAGCTGAATCGTATACACACATATGCATTCACACTCACACACGCACACTCTCTCTCTCTGTCTTTATGGAAAATGGCTGCTAATCCATGATCATTTTTTTTTTCCAGAAACAGGTTTTATGATAATATAGTAAAAATATTAAATTAGAAAATGCCTCACTAAGGGTTGTAAAACCTTACTACACTAGAGATAGGTAATTATCCCCTCTACAGCCTAAATGACAGTTTAAAAGAAATAAAAATGTTAGTGCTCATTACTTGCTTTTGTAGGTTGCAATAAAGGGTAAGTTAAATTTTAATTCAAGGAAGAGCCCCTGCTATCGACCTTCTACCTCAGGTCCAAGTCCTGTTAATTACTCTGTAGGTTATTCTCCTGCATGATACCAACATTAATATGTTTCTACAGTGGACATTCCCACTGGCCGTTGAGACCAAGAGTGTGAAGTAGGGGGTGGGGAGGCGTTTCAGATCAGTGATTCAAATCTTGATTCTTCATGTGATAGGGAGCAGGAATTATGTATTTTTTTTTTAAACCCAAGTTCATTATGCATAGCCTAAAGGGGACCTCAAGTATTACACTCAACACTTACCCTGGAGAATCAGATGGAGACAAGGTTAACCTGAAGGATTGATAGTTCAGCCTCTCTGCATGGCTAAAGCTCAGCTAGCAGAGATGCTGTGGGGGAAACGTTCACGCATAGAAGGCTGGCTGACCCTCAGTCCCGTGCAGCTGTCTGCTGCCTGGTTTTTAGCTTGGTTTGGTTTTCTTGGGACGATATAAAGGATATGGGTTGTTTCTTTTCAGGGGCTTTGGCCTTTCCCTAAGCATTGGCACACATCTAGCCCCTGTCTAGGTGTGGGGACAAGCTCGGTGCTCCCTGCATCTCAGTCGCCATACCAGGGTGAGAGACTTCCCAAGGAGAACGTGGACGTGGTTTTAAGGAGTAGGTATCCAGACTTAGCTCTTTCCTAGAATTGGCCTGCCTGAGGCTGGGCCTGTGCAGGAGGGGTGGATTCTCCTTTTGCCTCACTTTTTGCCATCATTCTCCTCCCACTGACGAAAAGCCCATCTTTAATACCACAGGGATCTCAGGCTGGGGTGGGGAAACCTCCAGAGCACCACACGCAAGGGAGGGTGGGAATACACATGTATAGGGACTGAGAAAGGAGGTCCCTGCAGGTCAGTTTCCAGGTCTTTATTTTTGACAGTATTGCAAGAGAATATGAATTGTCCATTTATAAATAATTAGAATCCATTTTGAGTGGCAGATTACTATGAGTCCCCCCCCATATGATTGAGAAGGAATTAAAAGAATTGAGTGACATTGCTGTGACAGAACTCTCTCATTCCTCGTTGCTTATATATGTGACAGGTTTCTCAGTGCTTATACTAAGAAATTTCCAAGTAAGAAAACAATTATATTAGGACAGAAATTTACAGGGAAAAGTCAGATGGAAATATACAAGTTCAAGAAGAAAAAGATACTGTAAAATTTCCAAGTTTTAAGAGTGTTTATAAAAGTGTTGTTTAAATGTATAGTGATGGTCTCAGTTCATCATGATATAAAGATTCTATTAGGCACCTTTACAAAAGAGATGTTAAGGGCTTTATTTTAAAGGTTAATATTCACACATTCTGGTAATTCTGTCTTTTGTGAGTATTTAAACTTTAGAAAAACATTATATGGCAATTTAAAATGGTGAGAGAGATGTATAGTATTATATGCACCAAAGAGGCGGGAAGAGCAGCCAAGGCTGGGAAGGGCTGGGTGGGCCTCTGGAGGTCTCACCCTGGGGGTGCTCCTGGGCCTGGGGTGGGTCTGCTTTGTCTGACTCAGGGGTCGGGGCTGAGGGGAATGGAGAGAGGAGAAGGAGTGGAAGAGTGGCCAGGAGGTTGTCGCCATGTCCTTGTAAGAGCTGGTGAGATCTAAAATAGCAAGGCCTGGAGAAGCAGCTAAATTTGAGGTGCTGCAAGATCAAAATGGCCCCTGACTGGTGGGTGAGGGAGGGCAGGGGAGAGCAAAGTTAAAATGGCTTGGGGATTTTTAGATTGAAATAAGCCTTATTCATATTCTCTCTCTCTGTAAAAATATTTTAAGAGCCCAGACCACTGAGCTCTCCAGGTTGCTTTGCCGTGCACAGCTGCATGTGTTTGTCAGCTTTGCCCACCTGAGTGTGAAATGATGTTCTATCAAAACATGGGTTTCAGCATTTCACTCTCTGCTCCTGACACGTGAACCCTGCTGTGGACAGTAACTGCCGCCGTGGGCCCAGGCACCACCGCCACCGCAGCGGAGTGGAAGCATCTGCTCCGTGTAATGATGGGTCTGGGGCGGGCAGGCAGGCAGGGTGAGTGGAGGGCTATGATTGCGAGGGGCTAAATAGATGTGCCTCTGTGTGTCCCTCCCTCAGACTGCGTCCTCTTAAAGTCACGCGGTCCTTTTTGTCATGGCAACTCTTCCCTCCATGCCATTTAATTTTTTTTTATGGAAATGGCTAAAGAGACTTGTCACTGCTGGCACATAGGCAGGCCGTGGTGTGAGGATGGGAAGACTGGGCAGCACCACTGTGTTTAGGTGCTGGCACTGGTGACCTGAGGCTGCCGGTGCCTGTCAGCGAGTGTCTGGGGCTGCCCTCCACCTCTGCAGGGCCTGTCTGGGCTGGTCACACGGATGCACATAGCAGAGGAACAAAGAGGTGAAGGAGTTCAGGGTGGACCTGCAGCCTTTGTCTGTAGTTCAGGGTGAGGGTACCAGCAAATTCTTGCCATAAAATTTCTGTCATAAAATTGGAGGCCCATTGTTTTCTGGCCTGTACTTTTATTGTCTGTCCATCTCATAGTCCTAACATGACGAGGCTAGCTTACATTTTTGGCTTCTGTGGTTTCTTCTTTATGTTTTCTTTTTACCTTTTTAAAGCTTTGATCTGTTATTCCTATCGCTGGGTTTTCTAAGGATAGTACTTTTATTCCTGCTCACAACTTTAGTAGACTGACTTCAGAAAAAAGGCTATTGAAGTCTTGCTGAACTGAAATGGCTGTTTGTAGGGTGGGTTTGTGTTTTGTTTATAAAGTCACATTTGCTGACAGTGATCCTAAAGTAATGAGAGCACTTTTCAGAGCCTCTTTTCTTAACCAAGGTACAGGCTGCTTTTGGGGGTTTGATCTTGAAAATACCAGAGCAGATGCAGCTTTCTTCTGGGGTTGTAACTCCCCAGCTCACAACCTTAGCCCTGTGCGAGCTGCCCTCCCTCCGTAAGGTTAGTGGCTGCAGAGGGTAGACATGGGTCGCCTGCCTCAGGGAGCAGTGTCGTCCATGGGCCCTCTCCTGGTGATGGACATTCTGACGTGGTTCTGACCTGATTGGAACCTGGTGGCTTCTCATTTCTGCAGGGAGGATCTGCTCCATATCCACAGGGGAAAGAGTTCTAGAGCTTCCATCACAAGGACAGGAGAGATCTTCACCCCCACCGCCTTTTAGGTTTTTCGGGTCTTGACAGGTGGCTTCAGCCAGATGTTTTTGTGTAGTATTTAATAGCATGAACAGAGGTTGGAAGCAGTCAAAGACTTCATTTTCAGGGACCCAAGACTCTGGCATATTATGATTTTTTTTTAACATTAAAACTCAACTCTAGAAATAAATTAGCCAATCATATTATTTATTAGACTGAGAATAGAGAAAAGGGAGCTGGGAAGTGGGGAAGAGCCTTGGTTCTACTCTTGAACAACTGTACATACGATAGTAATTGGAATCTTGTTGCTGGGTCATTTTCATTGTTTTTCAAGTACTGCCAAGTCCCAGAAAATGTATGAAAACTAAATTATATCCACCTACATCCCATGTCTGATTGAATCCTCCTCATTGTGTGGCAGTCTCATACATCCTATTAAAATATTCAATCTTGTTTTCTTACTTGAAGAGCCTGTCTGTAAAGGGCAAACTTATAGAAAACTCATTCCCCAGAGACAGGGTATCCAGCCTCACTGGACTATTTACATATTTTACTATTTGATTCTCTGTTTCTGGGTCTTTTCCTTCTGTTGTATTGTGAATAAGAGAGGTAGGATGCACTTTTAATTACACAACTGTGTTTGCAACTGAAAAAATAGATTGGGGTATTTCCCAGCTTTTCAGTTTGTTTTTTTTTTTACCTTGAACAGTGAACCTGCATGTTAACCAATTTGTTCTGTTTGTCTCCTAGGACAGAGCTGTATCGCTCTCTCTTTGGCCAGCTCCACCCTCCTGGTGAAGGCCACAGGAATTGATGTTGCCTGTGTCCCTTGCTACAGACCGGGGCAAGGCCTCCCCCGACACAGCGGTGTCTTGGCCAGTCGGCTGCTCATCCAGTGGAGGAAACCAGTGACCTTACAGGGTTGAGCTAGTAGGGAGATTCCTGGGAAGGTGCTATGCTCAAAACATGTGCCTAATACCTGTGAGGGCACTGGCCCTCTGTGCTCTTTAACCATCACAAATAAAGAGCGTTGTCACTGTCGTGGTACTGATATGATTTCTTGAACATCTCAGAGTAAGAGCATCTTTACAGCTCTAGTAGGATGGCGTATTTTTGGGATGGTTTTCTTTTTTGTCCTAGTCAGATGACTTCCTCATATAATGTAGCATTTTACATTTTTGTTGTCTGTTCACCCCTGACAAACACTTGTTTTGTACCTCAGTTACTGTCAGGAGTGCTGCAGTGAACATGGGTGTGCAGATATCTTTTCAACATAGTGGTTTCCGTGTCTTTGGATCTGTGTCCAGAAGTGGGATTGCTGGAGCATATGGTAATTGTATCTGTAGTTTTGAGTAATTCTCTACTGTTTTCCCTAATGGCTGTGCTAATTGACACTCCTACTATGTGTGCACAGGGGCTCCCCTTTCTCAGCACCCTCACCATCACTTGGTACCTTTCATCTCCTTGGTCATAGCCATCCCAACAAGGATAAGGTGATATCTCACTGTGGTTTTAATTTGCATTTTTCTAATGATTAGTGATACCGAGCATTTTTAAATTAATCTGTTGGCCATTTATGTCTCTTCTTTTGAGAAATGTCTGTTCAAGTCCTTTGCCTATTTTTTAAAAATGGGTTGTTTTCTTGTTATTGAATCATTTGAGTTTCTTACACAGTTGAATGGATAAAAGAAGATGCATATATGCACATATGCAATAAAATACTATACAAACTTTAAAAAGAAGGAAATTCTGTTTTTTGCTACCCTGGTTGAACCTGGAAGACACTCACTAATTAAGGCAGGCATAGAAGGACAAATGTCACTTGATCCTAATTATATGTGGAATCTAAAAAAGGCAAACTCATAGAAGTAAGGAGAATAGAATGGTGGTTACCAGATGGTGAGGGGTTGGGAGAGTAGGTCACGGGGAAATGTTGATCAAAGGGTACAAAAAGGTATGGTTTGGAGCAGGGAGTTTTGAGATCTGTTGTATAGCCAATAATAATGTAAATTTCAAATGTCTCCCCACCAAAGAAAATGAGGTGATAGATACGTTGGTTTGATTTAATCATTCTACATTGAATGTGTTTATCAGAACATAGCATTGTACTCCATGACATGTGTACAATTATGATTTGTTGATTTTAAAAAGTATTAATATATTTTTTTATAAGTTCACAGAAGGACTAATTCTAAGGGCAGGATGCTGCATTCTGAGTGGAAGATGTTTGGTGGTTTATCGTACTCTGAGCAACAGGGTATCCCCCGAAACCTACTACGCTGTGCCCACAGGACTTTATAAGTTGGAGGTAATTGCCCTTTGTCATTAAAAACAGTTGTCTGACTTCTTTTTTCTTTCCTCTTTTTCTTTGAAGTTTCTTCTGGAGCGCTTTTCCCTTCCTACCAGTGTGCATCACTGTTTGGAGATGAGCTCTGGTGTAAATCTAGCAGGAGGAGATGATTCACTTGTTTTTCATCCAAAGGTCAAAAGCTGGAAATTAAATCCCCATAAGGGGGATTTATTGGCTTGCTGTGGTCAATATGCAACACAGATTATCTTGCATAAGTAATGTGTGCACATGGGTCTGCAGCACGCAGAACCCACCATCTCATAGGTCCTCTGGCCAAATCTCTATTTAGAGCTATGGAATTTAAGAAGAAATGTTGAATCCAAGCAGCTGAGTACAGTTGTTGATAACTAGTCATTGTTAATTTGATATTGTTTTAAAATGTTAAAACCAGTGACAGATTTTTGTGCCCAGGAATCCTCTGTACTGGTGTCTGGGATGCTGCACAGCACCCAAAGGCTGGATTCCCAGTGAAGTGAGTCCTGACATCATCTGTTCCATGTTTTAATTTTAACATAAATGCGTCTGATCTGAGGATGGGGCAAAGAGGAGGGAGGAAGGTTTTTCTGTGTCATATTTACCTTTGTACATGGTGATTTGTTTTTCTTGTCTCAGCAGTTACCTCTTGGGCTCAACTGCTGGGGAAATGTGTAATTTCAGTGTGTCTCTACTTACCCAAAGATCAATTCACCACATTCGCCCTGTTCAGAATGATCACTTTTTAAAAATACAGAACATCCATCTAGCGTGAGGTTCTGAAAATGCACAGTAGCGCAGCTGGGAAGGGACCTCTTCATGGGGAGCTCTCTGTGAGCCTGATGCTAACCCACACCTCCTCAACAGATAGGACCTTTGTCATGGTCACTCCATCTGATAAAGATTTAAACAGGTACTTCAAAATATTTGGAGTCCAGCAAGTTTGATTAAAAGGAATTAAAAACAGGAGAGATGAGAAAGAAGGAACTGATGGAATTCTCACTTACGGAAGGCTTGCATTTTAACATTCAGAAGACCACCCTCCTTCCAGCCAAGAATAAATTGGAAACTATTTTAATTGACACGGATACTGCAATTCAACTGTTACTAGAAAGACAGATTAGTTGATTGATTTGCATTTTAATAAAACTAATACTTTACATTTTGGTAGCTAATGCTGATTTTTAAATGAGTTGAGAACAGTTATCAAGAGTTTCAATCCACAGCTCTTTTTCAGTGTAGACTGAAGCATTCATCTTTTGTGTGGAATTTGCTTATTTTTGCCCTGCTGACTGCTTCACCCACGACACTCATAAACTATAGACCTAGAGAGTCTCACAGGACAGCCAGGCAGTAAGCTGGTCACACCAAAATGTGGCAGCTTCCAAGCCCCCCAGCCCCTCCCTCCAGGAGAGAGAAAGTGATATGACTGGCTTCTGATTTTATTTTTAATTTGAAAGTTAATCACAGAATAGTAGAAGGAACAAGTAAAAACAAGCAGCTAGCTGTGTCTCCTCACTCAGAAATAATCACTTCTCACATTAACACATGGGTACTGCATAGCCCTCTTGGTAGGAGAGGCAGGAGAGGCAACAAGGAGCAGAGGGGAGACTTGCTCTTAACTTTTGTGCTGTCTGAATATTTTAGTTACCCTTTTAAAAACAATGAAAGCAAAATCCCCATACAGCTGTGTCTACCACCCCTCCAACACACAGACACTACCTGTGTGGGACCATGGGTACGATCTGCGTTTTCACATTAATAGTACAAAGATTATGGCCATGTTTTTACAGATATATTCTAAGTGCTGTCTACTAATTCCTTTTGATACATGTCTCATCCATACTTAACCGGATCCCTTGTTGGACATTTAAATTGTTTCCAGATTTTTGCCCTTAGGAATAATGATACAAGAAAATACTTGTGCATAAAGCTTGTTTATTACGTTATTTGAAGCTTTTGTTTTTCTTGGCATATATTTTTAGAGTAACATGAACCAAGTAAAAGCATCTATGATCTAGGGTGATGAGAGCTGAAAATAAATAATAAGTCTAAATTTTTTTTTTAAGACAGAGTCTTACTCAGTTGCCCTGGGGTAGAGTGCTGTGGTGTCGCAGCTCACAGCAACCTCAAACTCTTGAGTTCAAGCAATTTTCTTGCCTCAGCCTCCCAAGCAGCTGGGACTACAGGCACCTGCCACAATGACTGGCTATTTTTTTTTTTTTTCCTATTTGTAGAAACAGGGTCTTGCTTTGCTCAGGCTGGTCTGAAACTCCTGAGCTCAGGCAATCTACTTGCCTCAGCCTCCCAAAGGCTGGGATTACAGGCGTGAGCCACCATGCCCAGCCTAGTCTAAGTATTTTTAAGACTCTTGATACATGTTATCAAGGCTTATTTTAAGTCCCTCATCCACTTTTCCTCACTTGCCCAGGCTGGGCCATCTGTAACAAAGGGTGTGGAGCAGGGTGGACACCTGCCCTGGAGTTTCATCCTGGGTTTATTTCTTACTCCCCAGAGACTCCTTCAAGTCAGCATCCTCCTCTGGGAGGATAAAGAGCTGCTGTGTTTAATGTGCTTTGAAATGCTCCAGTGAAAGATGGTGGATAAATAGAAAGTGACACCACATCTCCCTCCCTCTCTCATATTTTTTCCTGGCTGCTGGCTCTTGTGTCATTTGCTGTCCACCCTCCCCTTTACTTTTCATGCTCTTGCCACTTTCATTGCCTTCATCTGCGGCTCTCCCAGGAAGGTTTTCCTCGTGTGGGTTTGACTTCCCAGCTGTTCTCTACCTTGTTTCTGCGGTGTAACCATTGCTGTCCAGGGACACTACCTGGTGGGCATCATTTAGAAACCCAGAGTGTTGACCAGGCACAGTGGCTCATGCCTGTAATCCTAGCATTCTGGGAGGCCGAGGCGGGTGGATTGCTTGAGCTCAGGAGTTCAAGACCAGCCTGAGCAAAAGTGAGACATCCGTCTCTAGAAAAAATAGAAAAACCGAGGCAAGAGGATCACTTGAGCCAAAGTTAGAGTTTGCTGTGGGCTATGACACCACAGCACTCTACCCAGGGCAACAGCTTGAGACTCTGACTCAAAACAAAAATAAAGAAACCCAGAGTTTCAGCAGATTTCTGACCACTCTAGAAATAGCCTCTGCATCTCCAGCTTAGGCCAAGTGTCCATCCGTTCCTTCTTTTTAAAATTTTTCTTATTAATCAGAATTTAAGATGGCAAGGAAAAGTTTCCTATTAGAGCTTGATTTCCCTGGCCTCCACACGTATTGCTAAAACCTGTCCCAGGGTACTGCCTCTTTACCTCTTACCATGGTCCAAAGGGAGCCTAGTTTGAAGCTTAGAATTAATCCAGCTGTGACACTCATAAACCTTGTACCATTCCCCACGATGAAGCAGTCATTCTGTATATGAAATGTGTTAATGCCAAGACCTGTGTCTCCCCTGAGCCTGATGCAAATGATGTAGCCACAGGCCATGGCAGAGCTGGGCAGAGGAGCACAGGTAAAATATCAGGAAGGAGCCCTGGGCTGCAGGTGTTTCATGCCAGGGCACCTGCCTGCCCTGCTGGTGACACCACAAAAGTGCCCCTCTGCACTCGTGTCCTGCTGTATGTCTATTAAGGACAGATACAGCCGTGACTCTTGTCTACGATGCATGAACAGCGTTTTCTGCATCTTAGATCGTGTTTTTACTTTTTAAACTTATGT